GATGACCCGCGGCGGGGGCGTGCTCCCGTGGCTGGGGAGGCGGCAACCCGCGGCGGGGGCGGGCTCCCGCGGCTGGGGAGGCGGCGAACGACGCGGCGGGGGCGGGCTCCCAGCGACCTGCGGCGGCTTCCCGTGGCTCCGGCGGCGCGAGGCGGCGGTGAAGGGCGCGGCTTCCCATGGCTCGGCGCGAGGCTGCGAGAGGCGAACGGCGCGGGAGGAGGAGGAGGTCGTGCGGGAGGAGAAGGTGAAGGTCGTGCGGGCGACCGGTTTTCTTAATGCGGGGCGATTAGCGATCGATTGTGGCTTGTTGCGTGGTTGGTAGCATTAAACACAGAATGATTAAGGGCCATTAGATTTTAATAATGGATGGGTGGGATTGTTTGGATCTACCTCTCTCTTTCTTTTATAGTGGTAGTAGATGAAGTCACAGAAGTTTTGAAGTCACAAAATAAATTACATTTTTGGAGTCATAAAATTTTTACAAAGCATTTTTATGTACCAATTTTTTTAAAAGTTATGCAACTATTTTTGTTGACAAGCACAACCATTTTTATTAGGAATAAATCTATAGTGTAACATATTTTAAAGAATTGTTTTCACACAACCATGTAGATCCACCCAGACAAATTTCAGACGTTGGTAAAGAAATAAAACAAATTAAAAAAAATAATTTACACAAAATGAGAATTTGCAACAGGCCTTCCCTCAATAAAAATTCAAATACTTGTTCAACATTTTCAATACTTATTTAACATTTTCAAATACTTTTTCAACATTTTTAATACTTATTTAACATTTTCAAATACATTTTGAACATTTTTAATACTTATTTAACATTTTCAAATACTTTTTCAACATTTTTAAAATAGTTGTTCAACATTTTTAAGACTCATTCAACATTTTTAAAATAATTTTTCAACAATTTTAATACTTATTCAACATTTTCAAGTACTTTAAATTATAAAGAAAATTACAAAAATAAAGCAAAAATGAGAACAGAAAAAAAAAAGAAAATCAGGCCGTGGCCTCCCGCGCGGCCGGGCCGGCCCATCTGGGGCTCCCGCGAGACTTCCCCCCGTCTCGCTTAAACAGAGCCCGCCCCTCCCCTCCGTCTCCTTCCCCCAAAACAGAGTGCTCTGAATCCCGCGAGCTCCTTCTCGTCGGCTTCCTCCTCCCCAAGCTCGCACCAGCCAACCACCCAAGAGAGCGTCTCGACGCCGTCCACCACCAGCGCCTCACCTCCCCTCCCTCCGTGCTTTCTCCTTCCACTCCACCTCGTCGTGCGGGCGAAGACAAAAGACGACCAAGAAACCAAGAAGGCTTCTTGGGGACAGCCCTGCAATGGAGCAGGGCGCCGGGAAGAAGCTCGGCAAGGCTAAGGCGTCCAAGTACGATGTGAAGGCATCTCCTCAGAGCGAGGTGTCCGCTCTGGAGCTCCCTGGCGCGCCGACTCGGGCCGAGGTGGCCGCGCTGCAGCTCCCGGGCGCGCCACCATCGCCGACCCAGCCTGAGGTCGACACGACATCTCAGGCGACCGCGTTGCAGCTCCCAGGCGCGCGACCCCAGCCGCCTCAGGCCGAGGTGTCTCCTCGCCCGCTTACGATCGTCCCCGCCCCCGCTCACCTTCCGCCTCAGGCCGACGCGGTCTGGTTCAGGAGCTTGCTGGAGGCCCTCCGACTCCGGTTTCCGGGGCCGGTTGTGGCGAGGATCTTCGAGGCCTTCCAGGGCGCGTGGGCGTCCGTGCACGGGTGGTGGAGCGGGCCGCCGCCAGCAGCAGCGCCGGTGATCAACAAGAAGAACAAGAACAAGAAGAAGGACAAGAACAAGAATACCTTGCTCCCCGTGCCGCGGCGTAGTAAGGCATGGTTGTACTGGGAGAAGCGCCGCCGCCGCCGGGTGATCCCCCCTCCTCCTGTTCTTGATGAGCCGCAGCCTTCGCAGCCCGCACCAGTGCCACTGGTATGATCCAATTCCTCTCCTTCCTCGAATTCAGACTCTTGCCTTTCCTTCAGAAAACTTCAGTGATAGTTGCAGAACACAAAACTGAGTCACAAACCATAAAATGGACTTTGCTGGAATTTGTCGATAGTTGCATGACAACTGAATTTATGTTAATCGGTCAAAATTTATAGCATTATGCAAAGAATCTTTGCTGGAATTGCAGAAGCTCTCTTCTGATGAAGGGCAGCAAAAACTTTGCATTCAGTTAAAATCCAGTGATAGGAAAACAAAGTTACCAACAAGGTGTTCTTCTGTGAATTTTGCAAACAAAGTTACAAGAGGACTGTTCCTTAATTTGCATGTATCCACTTGATTAACTTATGTTCAGACCCCTGCCTTTTGTAATCAGAAAATTGAAAAATATATACAATCAGAAAGAAATGAGAAAACTGAACTGATTTCTTTCCCTCGTAATCAGTTAATCAGTGATAGTCATGTTAACCAGTTAACAAAATTCAGATTGAATTATTTGCTGTTTATCTTTCTGATGAAGTGCAGAAAGAACTGCCTCGGTTGTGATGACCAGGAATTGTTTGCTGTTTACCTTACTAGGTGCCCAGAACAATTATACATGAATGATATAGTTTCAGAACACAAAATTGAAAAGAAATGACAAACTGAACACAAAATTCAGTTATAGTTTCCGAACACAAAACTGAGTCACAAACCATAAAATGGACTCCGTTGGAAGTCGTGGATAGTTGCATGAGAACTGAATTTGTGTTAATTAGTTAAAAGTCATAGCATTATGCAAAGAAACTTTGCTGGAATTGCAGCAGCTCTCTTCTAATGAAGGGCAGCAAAAACTTTGCATTCAATTAAAATTCAGTGACAGGAAAAAAAAGTTATCATCAGTGTTCTTCTGTTAATTTTGCAAACAAAGTTACCATAGGATTGTGGCTTAATTTGCATGTACTCCATCACATATCTTGTTTGTAATTTTACTCAGTTTGAGTTTTGACAATCAACTTTCCATTCATTTTTTCCATTGCTTCATTTTTTTACCGGTCAGGAAGAATTGACAGAATGATACCATTGTTTACTATGCTTGGATACACTACTGTTTGTGTTTTCCATCTTAATCCTCTCCATTCCATGTACGGCTGAATATTCATTTTGTAGCTCGTAATTGTCAAGCATCACTTTCTTTGGTGACTCATTCAATACATCACATCTTATAATGCATCATACCTGAAATAAAAAGATATGCATTGCTTTATCATTCCATCCCATATCTGCACAAATGGTAGCCAGAATTGGTTCATTTGGACACAAGTTGTATCATTTACTACTCCTAATTTGCTTTATTTGCTAATGCACTTCTGTTTTTTAATCTTGTATCTCGCCTACGTTCAGATTATCGATGGAGAGACCGTCCCCGCTGAGATTGTGGAGGGATATAAGAGGTACTGCAGAATAGCTAGATCCTCTCCGGCGACAACAACAGTGTGCCACCTTTGCATTTTTGAGGTGGAGCTTCACCCAAATGGGATTGTGCGCACCTCCGATGCAAGAAATTGAAATGAGCATCATTTTACCCCCAAAAACATCTCTCCATTTGATTCTGAGCTAACTTTCGTTCGCTTTTGTAGATGATCGCGCATTGCAACAAGCATCGTTCAGTAGCTGTCCGCTGCAGCAGGTTTGGCTGTGCTGCTAAGGTTCCTCCCGGCCGCGACTTACGCTGGCACACCCATATTTGCCACGACTTGCCTGCTGATTGGTGGCTACCATAGAGGCCTGGTTGTACTAGGAAACAAGATGTTGGTAGCATAAATGATATGAATTGTTGTATAAACTTGTAAATCGTGTGGGTTTATATGCTTATGGTTCTAAAACCACAACCAGATCCTTGTGGTTCATTCATGAACAACAGTGGAAATATTATGCGGGAAGAATATTTCCTTGTGTGGAATGATACAATAGAGAGCTCTTATATTTTATTTTCACCGAACTAGCATATATTTATTTTATCTCTCGCAATAAATTATGAAGAAAATATGTACAATATTTGAGCAAACTATTACAAACTATTTGAAACATAAAAACTATCAGATTGTTGTAACTACAAGATGATTCCGTCTTCTCCATGGTTTTCTTAAAACACCTGCATATATTATCTCTGATTACCACATCAGCAGCGTCATCAAAAGACTGAGCAGAAAAGGATGTTGATGTTGAGCACTCCCTCGACCGGCCATTTTTGCAGCACAGGCAGGACCTCTCTCTCGAGGCTCGAGTATGCCGCCTTGCTGCACTGCACGTTATGTTAATTGTGACTGTAGCAGTTCACTTCACAGTTGTTGGCTCATTGAGCCCATCATGCTGATCTTTCTAAGATCAGGAGTAATCCACATTGGAGCTGGACAGTTGGACCAAAGCTGAGGACACACAAGCTCCTCCATGCTGTTATCATCCAATTTAAGAATTCCCATATCACGATGACTGTTCTTATGTCCCAGTGTCCATAGAAAATTATCGTCGGTAAAATAGGAACCATTTGCCTTGAGAGCGGGATATTCATCAGCACTAAGGCAGAGCGATAGATTATGACCAAGAAATAACACATGGTCACGCAGGCAATGGATCACCTTAATTTCATTCCAAAGAGCATCAATCCCAAATATTTTAATCTCCTTAGTGCTCCAGTATTCAGATGCACCAGGCTCAGGTTCTAAATCATGGTCACGAACTATTCTATACACAAGTAGCAGACTGCCCCATGGAGCTTGAACAATGTACCTAGTATCGCAATCATAATGCTCGGGTACCCTTATAACCGTCTTCATAGTGACCACAGGGCCACTAAGATCGAACGCGTGGAATTCTCCTTTTACATTCACTGTATACAATATGCCATCCTTATAAGTGCAGTCATCATAGAGATAATCAGGCGGTAGCCAGGTCCACTTATCATCCCCTGCCTTTGCAAATGAGAGCTGAGCTTGTGGGTTGTGGATGAGCACCACAATGTAGCTTCCTGTGGATGTATCAGGAAATACAAACGCCTTCCAATAGAGTCTACCCCTCAGCTCGGCAAGAGCGAAGTTGGATGGCGGATTATGACCTCTGTGCGTCCCAGTGTGCCATGACATCTCATACTTGCAGACATCACCGTAGTCATGAAATATGGGCTTCACATGCTCAATGGTGGTCACTGAAGGGAGAGCAATCTGTTCACAGGTGATTGGATTCAGAAGGTGCATCTCAGACCTCTCGTCGACGGTAACAAGCCAGCCGTATGAGGACCCAATCAAATATCTGCTGCGGATAGCTGGCTGCGGCAGAGTTAACTTGTAAGACCTCTTCTCAGCGAGGCTGTAGAGGGACAAAACATCATCAGGATCGGATTCAGAGATGTAGACCATGCAAGGCGTCTGGCCCTGCTTGTACTTCCCAAGGGTGCGTAGCTCGGAGTATGCGGAGTGCCAGGATGAACAGACCGAGCCAGCGCGCACGAGGTCGGGGATCTCGAGAGCAGCAAAGATAACCATCAAGATATCCTGCGGCAGCTCCGGCAATGTGCCCACCATCTTGGCCTCGGTCAGTGTTAGATTGACCTTGTAGTCTAGATAACCATCTTGTTCATCTCTGCAGAGTTTCTTGAGTGGAAGGAAACCTTGCAGTTGAGGCAAAAGTCTGAAGACTAGAGAGCACAACTTGTGCCGGTACATAGCTAGGTCTTGCAATCTGATTATCCTGGCAAAGCTACAGGTCTCCATGGATTAAAGCACAGCAGAGCAGATCCTCTCTGTTGGAAGACAAGCCAGTTAAAGCAGAGCAGAGCCTCTTGGAAGAGAAGACAAGCCAGTTAAAGCAGAGCCTCTGTTGGAAAGTCGCAGTCTTGATGAGAGAACAGGAAAGTCCTGCCTATACTTATAGATCGCCGGCCGAGGTCTCACCCCCACTCCGAGGAGGTGAAGCAAATCCGAATCCAGGCTGGAACAGGAACACTGAAATTATTTGGACCCTCTGTGGATTTGTGAAGGAATTCCGAGTCCCCCCGCTCTGATTTGCTTCCACAAACTCCGATTCCCAGCGAGGGCCCAGGCCAAAGCACTAACCGGCGGCCGGCGAGGGAACGGTTCTGCGCCGAGATGCTGGGACGAAGAAGAGAATGGTAGCCGGCACCTTGGGGAGGTCCGTGGTCGCCGGAGTGGCCGCGCGCGTGTGTTCGCCGGAGTCACCCTCGCCTCTCGATTGGATGGCCGGCAGTGCCGCAGTGTCCTGTGTAGTTGCGGCGCCGCCCGTGGTCCGGTTGCTCCGACCCCCTCTTTTTTTTCCTTTTTTTTCCTTTTTTTGAGAAAACCAACCCCTCCTCCTCCTCTTCGGGCACGAGATGGGCCGGCCGAGGCAGCACGGGAGGCTACAGCCTCTTTTTTCACTTTTTTTAGTTTTGTTTATACTTCCAAATATTCTAAATAAATGTATTTAAAAACTTTACATTTTAGGAATGTTAACCAAGCATTTGAAAAATGTTGGAGTATAAATAAATATTTATCATGTATACAAAAATATACAATGTGTATGAAAACATTTGTTCATGTATTTCAAAAAATGTTAATAAAGCATTTAAAAAATGTTAAAAAGTACTTTAAAAATGTTAAAATATTTCACCGTACTCATTTTTTTAGGGTACACAAATTGCATATCTTAGCTTGAAGGAGAGAAATAAGACATACAATAATGTCTACCACTCGCTGCGAACAACGAAGGCGACTAACCCCACACCCGACACGAACAAGGACAACCCAACACAACAACACAGCTACGACACAAAAAGCCTACCCAACACCGAGCCCCTCCCCGCGTCTCGGCCGACACTGAAGACCTCCGGAGAACAGCAACTCCATCTTCCTTGGATTAGCCAGCGACGACCGTACATGGCGCCGGAGGAGAAAGATTCGGACAGCGGTGAACACCGGAGGAGCGTATCAAGGGACCTCGAGTCTCCCAGCACAATGCTCCCTAACAGAGTAACAACCTCAAAGACGTTGCCATCATGTCGATCTTAGGAACCAAGGCTTTCTCCCCGGAGACAGCTGCTGATACAAGGCCACGAGGAAAATGGCATTGCACTCGACGAAGCCTCCAGGAAGGTGAATGACACCCGCAGGTGCCATCAACGTCGGTCCCGCCACAACCGGACATGATTTTCATCCGTAGCGCTGCACACCTCCACATCTCCAAGATCACGGCCAGTCCCGCTCAGATGCCTCGCACCGCCGTCCCACAACAACTTGCCATCGAAGCCCCCCTTGCAGCCGAGGGAGCACGCCTAAAGCCATCACCTTCAACATCGACTAGGAGCTGCAGCAACCACCAAGCGGTGCAAAGCCAGATCCTCCACGGTGGCCTTCACCCGCGCGAGGGGACTGCCACCGGAATGGATCCGCCCCGCACCTCCGACCACACTCCGGCAACCACACCGCCAAGGCATCGCCACACACCTCACACCGCAGCAGCCGAACGCCCGCTGCCCTCCAAGACCCTTCCTGGTAAGGCCTCGCAGCACCGCCGCCATCATGGCTGCTCTCGCACCGCCGCCACCACCAGTGCTGGTGCACCACCTACACCCTCCAATCAGCTGTGCTCCACGCAAGTATCCAGAGACGACCGCCGCACTCCCTGTCGTGAGCACTCCAAGGATGCCGGCCAACGCCGAAGATGCACCAGATCCGGGCCGAAACCCCGGGTCCGCGCTCCGGGCGCCGCGAGCCAGCACCACCAACCCGCCGCAAGCCAGCCCCCGCCGGGAGCGAGGTGTCGTGGCGCCACCAGCCCCTGCTCCGCCAGCACCCGGAGGATACGACCGCAGCCCGCCGGCCCGCGCCAAGCCACGCATCCCCCGAGCAGCAACGCCTCCAAGCGCCGCCAGCCGTGGTCGCCGAATCCGGCCGGGCCACGCCAGGTCGCGCCACCCCAAGGCAACGTCCCGCTCCATCCAGCACCGCCGGACGCCGCCGGGCCGCCTGACACCAAGAGGAAGAGCGTCTCGCGCCGCCTGCGTACCTCGAGGGAAGGGGGGACCCCGCCACCGCCGACGTGCGCACGGGCTTTGCCCCGCGGCGGCCGCTGGCGGCAGCGAGGGAGGGAAGGGGAGGGGGTGTGGGCTGGCGACGACATAGATTAGGGTTCCTCCCGGGCCGCTCGCGGGAGCGGCACGGGGGACGGGGTGGGGATTATGGATGAGATCACATCACCGTACTCATCAAATATGGGCTTCACATGCTCAATGGTGGTCACTGAAGGGAGAGCAATCTGTTCACAGGTGATTGGATTCAGAAGGTGCATCTCAGATCTCTCATCAACGGTAATTAGCCAGCCATGTGAGGACCCAATCAAATACCTGCTGCGCATAGGTGGCTGTGGCAGAGTTAACTTGTAGGACCTCTTCTCGGCGAGGCTGTAGAGGGACAAAACATCATCAGGATCAGATTCAGAGGTGTAGACCAGGCAAGGCGTCTGGCCCTGCTTGTACTTCCCAAGGGTGCGTAGCTCAGCATATGTGGAGTGCCAGGATGAACAGACAGAGCCAGCGCGCATGAGGTCGGGGATCTCAAGAGCGGCAAAGATAACCATCAAGATGTCCCGCGGCAGCTCCGGCAATGTGCCCACCATTTTGGTCTCAGTCAGTGCTAGATGGACAAGTTCATCCCTGCAGAATTTCTTGAGTGGAGGGAAACCTTGCAGTTGAGGCAAAAGTCTGAAGACTAGAGAGCACAACTTGTGCCGGTACATAGCTAGGTCTTGCAATCTGATTATCCTGGCAAAGCTACAGGTCTCCATGGCTTAACCCTGCCGCAGAGCCTCTCTGTTGGAAGACAAGCCAGTTAAAGCAGAGCCTTTGTTGGAAAGTCGCTGTCTTGATGAGAGAACAGCCAATACTTACAGATCTCCGCCCGAGTAGGTGAAGCAAATCCGAATCCAGATTGGTGGAAGAATTCCGAGTCCCCTCGCTCTGGTTTGCTTCCACGAACTCTGATTCCTAGCGAGAGCACTAACCGGCTGCCGAAGAGGGGACGGTTCTGCGCCGAGATGCTGGGTCTGACTCGGGTCGAGGAAGAGAATGGTAGCCGGCACCTTGGGGACCGAGATCGCTGGAGTGGACGCGCATGCGCCCCGTCCGCCCGTGGACACCGGAGTCACCGCAACGCCGCTGGATTGGCTGACAGCGGGGGAGCGGCGCAGCGCGTGGTCCTTTTGGTGTCGCCGGGGTGGCTCTTCTCCCTCACTCTCGATGAACTGTACGAACAGGGGATCTCCGTCGATGGGTTCGGTTTAGCCAGGTAATATGCTGCAGGGGCAATTGGGTCATCCCATGTGTAATTTCTGCGCAAACGTAATTGAGAATCGGCTAAGAGCATCTCCAATATATGACGTATCTTACATCATCAAATTATTACACCCAATATATGTTTTAATAGACTAGGAAGTGTGCCCTTGCAACGGGAGAGACAAATTCTCGCTGGCAGTCATGAAACATAGCTACCAATGACATAATTGCCCCCATCGATTTTAGTTGTACAGCTTATCTTGGCCATGCTAGATATTTATATGTACTCCCTTCATTCCTAAATATAAGTCTTTTTAGAGATTTCAATACTACTACTATTGCTATGCATTGTCATATAAGGAAGTCATGCCAGATAGTTATAGAGATGCATATTACTCTACACAGGTTAGTTAAGAAAAGTAACTTGATGTACTAAAAATTTAATTTATTGTGGCATCCAACATATGACACAAATCTAAATTTGGATAAACAAAAATGACGATATAAAATGATATGAGATTCTATCCAACGTGAAGCTGGTGAGTTTAAGCTCGAAAGTTTCTTTCTTCTTCTTTCCAAGAGCGCAGTTGAATTGAATAACTTATATATGGTTGATGGCATGGTAGCATTGCTCAAAGAAATATTTCTTTATTTTTTCCTTCTCATTAAAACAAGATTATTATTTATTTATTTTTAAAATAAAATTTTGACAAAAGTAATCAATTTTATTGAATTGGAAAAAAATTATAACACTTACATTTTTTAACACGTGTTTTTTAAATGTTAATATTTGGGTGCTGGCCAGAAGAGATGCATACAATTAGAGTGCATCACGAATGGAAATCACGCCATACATCTGGATCTCCCTCTCCCATTAAATTACAATTTTAGCTTGGTCTTTCTCCTATGAATTCCATCATCATCATGCATGTCACTGGATCCCATGACCGGTTCCGTAGTCAGGCCATAATTGCCTCTGGCCCACAGCCAGCCGCAGCCCACTCCTTTGCCCTCAGCGCCTTATAACACCCGGAGGAAAGTATCGTTTTCCCCCCGAAATCTTCTCTGATGGATCAATTTCCCCCTCAACTCTAATACCGGATCAATCAACCCCTCAAATCTCTAAAACCGGATCAATTCCCCCCTAAAGTGGTTTTGGACTTGATTTTGAGTGGTTTTGACCCAGATCGTGCACTTCTCTCGGTTATGGCCGTGCACTTCGCGTCTTCAGTGCGCCCAGCTCGCCTCCGTGGCCGGCATGCTCGCCGCTTGCCGTCTTCATGGTCTCGACCAGGCTGCCGCAGAAGTACTCCCACTCCATGCCTACACGGACGCCGATGCTTCCCGAGAAGCCATCTGATGCCATGCTCCTGCTCAAGTCCGACTGCCCAGTGCGGGAACCGCTCTGTGTGCCTCGCACCGCACTGACCGGCGTCCCGCTTGGCCAGCGCAGGAGACGAACTGCATCAGCACCGTCGACGCGCTCATCCGGCCGCCCGTGATCACGCTCTGTTGCACCAGGCCCGCATTCTCTTCCTCCCGGCGAGCGGCGACGGTGTTCGAGGCGGCAACCACGCAGGCGTCATTCTCGATGAGCGTCTCCAGCGTGTCGGGGCTGCTGGAGGATGGCGGCAACGTGATCTCGTCGTCTTCGAGCTCCGTCGTAGGCTCTTGTGGCAGAGACGGCTCTGGGCCCCGGTGCCGACGGCGTCTCTCGCCGGTCTGCGTGGCCGCGTTCGCCCCGGCACCACTGCGCGACGGCCACATGGTACTCGCCGATGTCGAAGGAGCTCCAGTTCATCCTCTTCTCGTTCCCGGCCTAGCAGCTAGAGGTGGAGGAGGACAAGGATGAGTCAGTGGAGGCGTCGCGCGGGGAGGAGGCGGAGCCCTGGAGCGCGTACTCGATGATGCTGACTGGCACCACCTGAAGCGAGACGAAACAAAGGAGAGCAGAGCGGGTACGCGGTCTGGGTCAAAACCACTCAAAATCAAGTTCAAAACCACTTTAGGGGGGAATTGGTCCGGTTTTAGAGATTCGAGGGGCTGATTGATCCGGTATTAGAGTTGAGGGGGGAATTGATCCATCAGAGAGGATTTCAGGGGGAAAACGATACTTTCCTCTAACACCCGCAACCATGCCCGGAATTTCCTATTTGCCGCATTCTGCGGCAAACAGTCGACCGATCGCACACCCGACTGATACAAAGATTGATAGAATGGGCCGGCCCAGCAGCTGAGGGTGCGAGCAGATGATTTTGTGAACTTTCTGGAACGTTCCTGACCGGTTTTGGGAACCTTCTAGAAGGTTCCAAAACCGTTTTTTTCTTTCTTTTTGCGTTTCCTCGGTTTTGTTCTTTTTTTTCGTTATTTTTGTCGTTTTTATCTATATATTTTTCTTTTTATTTTATTTTCTCTTATTCATTTTTCTTTACTATTTCTTTTTCTTTTTTTTAAAAATGTTCAAAGTATTAAATACTTGCTCAATTTTTATAAACATTATTCGAAAGTTTCCACATTTTTTTTCATGTTTTTTAAACATTGTTCGCATTTTTACGAAAAATGTTTGGAATTTAAATTTGTTCAAGTTGTCAAACATGGTTCTGAGTTGCAAATTTTGTTCAAGGTTTCAAACATTGTTCTTATTTTCAGAAAACGTTCGGAGTTTCCAAAATTGTTCAAGTTTTCCAAAAATATTCCAAGTTTCAAAATTTTATTCATGTTTTCGAAAATTGTTCGCTATGTCAAAATATGCTCGGAATATCAAAATTTGTTAGGTTTTTGAAACAATGTTCTGATTTTCAAATTATTGTTCATGTTTTCATAAAATTTGCACAATTTCTAAAATGTTTGGAGTTTAAAATTTTGTTCGCATTTTCAAAATTTGTTCTTGTTTTCCAAAACTGTTTGAAATGTTAATTTTTGTTCTCATTTTTAAAAATGAATTTCAAAATTTGTTCCAATTTTTTAAAGATTGTTTTCGAAAACATGACATTTTTCAAAAATTGTCCAGAGATTCAACAGATGTTTGCGTAATAGAAAATGTTCGTGCATTTCAAAATTTGTTCGTGTTTTCCAATATTGTTTGAAATGTTAATTTATGTTCCCGTCTTAAAAAATGAATTTCAAAATTTGTTCCAATTTTTCAAATATTGTTCTCAAAAAAATGTTTTTTTTTCAAAAGTTGTTCAAAGATTCAAAAGATGTTCGCGTACTAGAAAATGTTCATGTTTTAAAATTTGGTTTGAAATTTTGTGTCCTTTTAAAAAAATTGTTCACATGTTAGAAAAGTGTTCGGGATTCGAAAATTTGTTCATGTTCCTTTTAACAATGGAATAAAAAATGTTTGGAATTCCAACTTTCACTTTCTTTTTCAAAACAATATTTGGAATTTATTTATTTTTTAAAATCACGAAACGATCAAACATTTTGAACAAGTATTTAATTAAATGAGCAGGTTCGATGTGATCTTAAAATGCCCGCACTCTTCCTATATCAGTACTAGCAGTCAGCTCTAGTGGCTAGTGGCATGCGTCGAGGACTCACACGTCGCGAGTTCGTTCCCTCTCGCCTCCTCGCTAATTTCATTTATTTTGCTTGCGCTCTTCTTCGTTTCCTATTAGTGGGCTGGCACACACACAGGGAGGTCGAGCTCCTCGAGATCTCCTCGCCCCCTGCTCCCCGCAGTCGCGCCTCCCCTTTATTTTCTTCCACCAGAAAGCTCGGCCATCCCCGTGTCTGCCATGGATGCGGGCAGCAGCCCCGCCATGGCAAGGGGGAGAGCTCAGTTGGCTCGGCCAGCCCCGTGTGTGCCATGGATGTGAGGGCTTCTGGCTCCTGGCAGCTTCTTCTCTGGGCACCCAAATCCATCTATGGTGGCACCAATTTTTTCTGAATCTTCTTCATGCGCCTCTCCTTTTTGATTGACATTATCTCACTGTAGCTCTGTTGGCTTGTTTTTTCTTGCAATTTCAAATGTATATAAGTTGCTAGGATATTATGTAAAGTGGCGAGGTGGTACTATTAATTCGAATCTGAATTTTTAGCACAAACACTATTTGTTGCAGCCAGAAGGGAGGGGAGGAACGTGAGGTCGAACGATTTTAGCGGCCCATAAAAAGTTACATTGCTGCAAAAACGTGCAAAACCAGACGAGCGAACGAACCAAAAATTATGGGAGTGCGAGTTAATTCCTAAAAATCACAGGGACTATTTTGCAAAAAGGATGTGACGGTGAACCCGATAGATTCAATCCGTGCTTTATTATTAAAAATAGGAAAAGATATATATAAAAATAAATATATGTATGGAAAAAGTAGACAAAATGTCTTCAAAAAATGTTAATCATGTATTTAAAAAACATTAATGGGCATTAAAAAATGAATTTTATGCATATAAAACATGTTGAATCTGTACTAAGAAGTTAACATGTGTTAAGCAAAAAATAAAACCTTTGAAAATGGATAAAAAAAGGGGGAAAAGAAGAAACTAGAAACCCAATAACACCCAATGCGAA